ATTTGGAGGCAAACCACCCATTGCCACCCATGAGGCCATCATCCTGGTTAAGTTTGATATCTGAGCTTGCATAGTTGTCAGCCTCTCCACCCTTCCTCATTTCCATGCCTGGGGGCCATCCTGATGATAAATCGGCTGTAGCCTCTTTGGCCTCCTCTACCACTTCTGTCACCCTAACTCTCCTTATGAGCTCACAATACCCCCAGATACTCCCTTTAGCTTCAGTCTTTATTTGATTTCAGACTGGATCCGAGGCTAAAGCACCCCGGGAAAGTTGCTCCATCCGGGCTTGCTCCACATCAGTTGGATCCAGCCCCCCCTTCTACAACCTGGTATAATAATTTGTTCAGCCATCTTATATACTCAGACAGCTTTTCGCCTCTCTTTTGATACATATGCTCAAAGCAAAACAGTAAGCTAGAAACTGTTTCAGCAAATTTGTCATGCAATAGGGAGAGGTAGTCACATACAGTAAAATGCCCTTGGCTCAACGTTAGACTTCTGATAGCTTCTGCAGCAGGGCCCTTTAAACTTTCTCTGACCCTCTGCTTCTTTTGAGCATCTGGTATATCCCACTCTTCAACTGCTTGTACTGCCTGCTCCATCCAGGTTTCATATTCTTCTTCCACTCCAACAGCACATAAAAATGGGAAAAGTCCCAGTCCATCCTTGTGTCCACCACATATACCCTCTGATCAGGGACAAGGGTCCTCAATGTCTGTAGAATTCACTCTTCTGGCCAAACATCATCAGGGACATCAATTACTACACTCGACTTTACTTCACTATTCTGGTCCTCACATCACTTAGTAACAGTGGTGGAGTCCATTTTGCTCATTTGACTCCTATCCCTATGTGAGGCTACCCACCCTCCCTCTAAAAAGAGAAAAGGCCAGACAGGAAATCCCGGACGAGCCCCCATGTGTAGCACCACCCCATAGGGACCACTAAAGCCCCCCCTGGCCTTCTCTTGACCTGGCTGCCAGTCCAAGGGGTCTTTCACTTCGGCACCTCTGATTAACCGAGGCACCTAGTGCAGTGATGCTCAGTCATGGTTGGCAGACACTCACACAAGGCAACAATGGTCGATCTCTCTTGGCGGTAGCTCACATGGAATAATTATGGTCGATCTCAGGCAGTCACAGCTTACAGGGGGCGATGGTAGTCGGTCCCTGGTAACAGCAACTTGTATACGATGATGGTAATCAGTTCTGGTAACAGCAGCCTGCGTAAGTCGATGATAGTCCATCCCTGGTAGCAGCAGCTTGTATATGATGATGGTAATCAGTCCTGGTAACAGCAACCTTCATAAGTTGATGGTAGTCCATCCCTGGTAACAGCAGCTTGCGTATGACAATGGTAGTCAGCCTCTGGTAACAGCAGCTTGCGTGGTGTGAAGGTGGTCAATCTCTCTCTAGAACTTGCAGGGACCTTCCTTCTCCACTCTCCTCATCTCTCTCTGCCCTCACTCCACATAATCCTCCCCTTCTCTGCCCCCTTTGCCTCTTCCAGCTTGCTCCAGAGAAGGGGAAAAATAAAACTTCCCTAACCTACCCTCTCTATTTCCCTTCGTCCGGCTTGCCCGTAATGAAAAAAAAAACAGTAAAAGGCTTCACCTCCCCCCCACTCTCTCTCTCTTTCCCTCTCTCTCTCCGTCCAGCTTGCCCACAATGAAAAAACAGTAAAAGGCTTCACCTCCCCCCACTCTCTCTCTCTCTCTCTCTCCCTCTCTCTTTCTCCCCCCTCTCTCTCTGTTCAGCTTGCCCGCAACGAAAAAACAAAGAAAAAGGACACAAAGCCCCACTCTCTTACTCTCTCTCTTTGCCTGGCTAATTCTTCACCAAACCAACTCCTGATTCCCAAACTCACCACCTTCCTTCTTCTTTTTTTCCCCGTTGGCTTCCTCCTCCTCCTCCGAGCCACGCCCCACCACCAGCCCAACAGCGGCTGCCGGAGCTCCTCATTTCCCTGCCGGATTGGCAGGGCTCCTGCAAAACCTCTCAGCCGACCCCATTCTCACCCCAGCTCCGTTACATTAGTTTTTATAGGATTAGGAATAAGGTGGGGTCGGGATTGGGGTTGGGATTTGGGTTAGGGTTAGAGTTGGGGTTGAGGTTAGGGTTTTTTCAAATAACATTCTCAATATTTAGCAAACAGTATAATGTCTGGGTTCATGTGGTTAAAAAAACAATGAGTAATGTTTTTAAAAGAAGGGTTTCATCTTTATTGGGTTATGATCTGCCCAAACATAAATTTCTATCTCAATTTTTTCTATCATCATATTAAGTTCCAAAGGTGTTCATATCATATCAATTCTAGACCATGATTTATGTCTATTTGAGCAAAATGTATATTGTAATTTCTTTGGATTTTTCTCTCTCCATGTATCTTGGATACAGAGTTCTTCTGTCATTTTTGAAAACTCTTTAGGTAATATATTTCCTCCTTTCCTCCCTTGTTTAGCACTTTTATACTCCAAAGTTCCATCTGTTATTGCATTAAAGTCTCCCATTATACAGAGATTTTGATAGTTCAATTCTAATATATTTATGTAATTTTTGGTAAAATTGTTTATCATTTGGTGCATATATTGCTACCATCAATATCTGTTTCTGATCCATCATTATTTCCACCATTAATATCCTCCCCTCTCCATCTGCATAAATTTGTTTAGGGTTCATCGTTTCTTTAATGTATAGAGCTATTCCTCTTTTCTTTTGAAGTGCTAATGCAAAGTGAAGTTTACCAATTTTCAGTTGTTCTAACAACTTATAGTGTTCTTTTAATATGTGTTTCTTGGAGGCAAATTATATCCATTTTTAATTTTTGTAGTCGTATAAAGAATGTTTTCCTTTTTGAGGGAGAATTTAGTCTATTTATATTCATTGACAAAATCCCACTCTCCTTCTACATCTCTTTCAATTATATCTAGGTCTTAATCTTCTAGTCGATCTTATCTGTCTCTGATCTCTTGGTCTTGCTCCTTCTTCTGTGTATGTGTTTTTAACTTCTTCCTCCTCTCTTGGTTTGACTGCTTCTTCTACTGCCATTTCTTCCTGTTTCTTTGTTTCTCTCTTTGTACCAGATTCAAAATCACCTCCTTCCAGAAATGCTCTATGGTTGTCGTAGAATTCCATTGCTTTAGGTGGCGTATCCAATCTATATCTTTTCTTATCCCATTAGATTAAAATCCCTTCTGGAATCAGCCATCTGATATTCACTTCTTTTTCAATTAATTTCTAGTTAGAAACTAGTATTCTCTTCGGGATTCTCTTATTCTCCTTGGGATTTGTTTGAGGCCTACTATTTCTTTTTCTTTTTATTTCAAAGGTTCATCTCTTACTCTTCTCAGAATCTCGTCTCTTATAGATCTTTTGAGAAATCTAACATGTACTTCCCTGGGGACTTTATTTCTTCTGGCATAGTTTGAGTTGACTCGATAGATCTGATCTAGTTCTCCTTCCATTTCCTGTTTCCTAATTCCTAATGCATCTGCCAATAATTCCGTTATCAAGTCTAGGAGATCCTCTTCCTTATCTTCCATTATATTTTGAAATCTTAAAAAATATGAGGCTCCTTCTATCTCTATCCCAGCTATCGAGCCTTCTAGTTCTCCATTTATTTGCATCAATTTCTGATTTTCATCTTTTAAGACTTCTAATTTCTGTTCAACCTCAGTTGATTTATCTTCTATTTTTTGGATTCTTTGTTGGTTATCTGTAACTGTCTGTTTAAAATTTTCAAATTGAGAGTCCATGTTATTAATTTTTTGATTCATTTTATCAAGATCACTTTTCATCTCCTCATGGTTTCTTGTTGTAGCCGCCATATGAGTAATGATTGCCTCTTGAAGTGCTTGTAATGTCGCTTGAGTTTCCTTTTGGAAGTTATTAGCCTTTTCTTGTTGGAGCATTATATCAATTGATCTCTGATAAACTGGACTTGCAGAAGCAGAAGTTCCTTTTTTTCCAACTTTAGATAGATTGGGGATGCTTATTTTTATCTTTTAATCATACTTTAAAATCCACCAAGTAAATCAGAATTTGTAATCCAATAGTCTCCCAACAAATAGGAGAGGTAAATAATAAAAAAATAGTAATAAAAAAAATAAAAATAAAATAAAAATAAATAAAAAATAAAATAAAAAAATAAATAAAATAAAATAAATAAAAAAAGCAAAGTTAAATGTAGTTCTCAGTTTTGCCACTAGATGTCATTAGATGTTCATTCCCACCAAACTTTAAAAAGTTAAAAAGTTAAAATCCAATGGTTTCCAAACAAGGAATAAAAAAAAGATTTATAAATGCAAAAGTTTCCCAAATTATCCTTCTTTTATCCCTCAATTGTCTTCAGAATATTGTTATAAGTCAGTTTTAATTTCCCCAAGCTTAAATCGCCACTTCTAGTTCAGGAGGGAGGGGTAGAGAAAAAATCCCCCCCTCCCTAAAGCTTGGGGATTTCTTGCTTTTGAGTGCTTTTTTCCAGAACTGGTAGTTTTTGCTTGTACAGAGGTAAGAAAAGTAGTCTCAGTTAGATCAGCTGTTTTGCTTTCCGCTTGTTAGTATTCGTTGTCTCCAACAATCAGCTGCTTCTGGCTGACCACATGGGTGCGGTCAGCCTTTCTTCCTGCTGGTCCCGAGGGCTACTTTGGATCAAACAGGTCAGCTACCGCTGGCCCACAATCTACAAAGTTTCTCCCTTTGGCTAGTCGCTTGTACGGGGCAACTTTCAGTCCTATTGGACCCCCCCCCCCAAAGCTGGTAGAAATCGGGCTTGGGGAACGGAGCTTCATTCCCCTGCGCCCGTGTTGCAGCGATGTCATCGGAAACTCCCTCAAGTATACTATATTTTCAACATCCCCATATGTATGACGAGATGTGATCTCTCAATTATAGAGTGGAGCACGAATCAATATCTCAGAAGGAAACTGTCCAGAAAGGATTGTGACCATTACAGGCCCTACTGATGCCATCTTCAAAGCATTTGCAATGATTGCTTATAAATTTGAAGAGGTAAGAAACATCTAAGGAAATGTTTATTTTCTACTGACTCTTTTTTGGGAAAAACTCCTCAAAATGCTTTTTTAAAAAAAAATATTATAGGAATAGTGACAATTGGTACATATTCACCAGACTTATCATTTCATTATGGTTTGGTTTGGGATCTGTCTGGAATCAAGAATGGTCCTAATAAATACCCCTACCAGAGAATTTGTTGTGATATAGGTATATCAGGATATGTCAGATTGAAAAATATTTGTTCACTCAATTATACAGCCATTTTTTCAGGAGATTAGCATTGCAAAATAACATTAAGGTAAAGGTTTCCCCTGTCTAGTCATGTCCAACTCTATGGGGCAGTGCTCATCTCCATTTCTTAGCTGTGGGAGCCAGCGTTGTCTGAAGACATTTCTGTGGTCATGTGGCCAGCCTGACTACAGCATGGAATGCTGTTACGTTACCACCAAAGTAGTAACTATCTATTTGCATTTGCATAGTTTTGAATGGCTAGGTGGGCAGGAAATGGGGCAAGTCATGCAGTGCTTGGGTCTTGAACCCAGGCTGTCAGCTTTCCAACTGACAAGCTCAGCGCCTTTAACCACTGAGCCATCAAGCTCTTTAATGTACTAGGGACATTAATACAAAATAGTTCTTTTAATTTGTTCATATTCTGTTCCTTTGACATTGTCCTAAATGTGTAATAATGGTAATGATGAAGAAGTATTGTAAAATGTAAGATACAAATTTCCTAGATGTAAAAAATCTGCTGGTTTTAACAACTTAGGCAGAAGAAAACCAATTCTATTTTCCTATTTGCTCATTCACAGTTCCACAATGTGATAAAAATGCTTGGTTCATTCTAATAAAGTACCATTCTAACTTCCTCCTTCCCTTCCTTCCCAAAGGATATAATCAACTCAATGAGTAACAGCACAGCTACAAGTAAGCCACCAGTTACATTAAGGTTGGTTGTACCAGCAAGCCAATGTGGATCATTAATAGGCAAAGGAGGCTCCAAGATTAAAGAAATCAGAGAGGTAAGTCTCTGATTTCCCTATATGCAGAGAAAGTTATTTTCTATGAGAAATAAAAGAAAGACTGATCTTTAAACCTCTCTAATTCATAAATCTACATGAAGTCAATTGTCATAAAGTGAAGCAGGAATCACTGAAAATCTTCATGTCTTCTGAGGGCAAGAATTTCCACTTACAGAAAATTTCATTTGGCCACAATCTATTTAAGTTCATCTGTGCTGAATTGAAATGGTGTTAATATTGATGACAAAACTACAATTATAAATATATTATTTATATGTTAAAAGAAGTAAATAAATTAGCTGGACATTCTCTGGGAATAACTGCCCTCCAGCTGTTCCATTCTGTTTTATATAACACTGTTGTGGAACCAGCAAAAATACAATACTAGTAATTTAATTTTATTTATTTGTCTAAATTTGTTAAGGCTATCCATTCTAGTAAAATTTGGGTGATTTACAAAATCTAAACCGATAGTTAAAACAATGAAAAGTGTAAAACAAAATGGAAAGTCTGGCTTAAAAACAGCCATAAAAACAGCCAAGAAAACGTAATAGGAACCCCACAAACACATTAACCCCAGACCTGGAAACAGAGCCAGGTCTTAAGGGCTTTCTGTAACCACAAGAGAGGGGGTGCCATTTGTCTCTTGGGGGGGATGCTGTTCCAGAGGGCAGGAGCAGTGATGGCCAATTGTCTACAATGGCTGCATGAGACAGTTGCCTGACTCTGCCTAATGGTATGGCTAGCCCAGGTTAGCAGAGTGATTTTTGATGATTTCAGATAATATACAATTAAAACATGGACAAAAGTATATTGCAATAGTTATTCTATGATTTATAATCTTCTGTTTGGATTTTATGTTTAAAATTGTCTAGAAAATAAAATTGATCCAAAATGAGCAGTAGACAGTAATCTGAGAGTGGCTAATCTGATCATGTTAATACTAATCCATTGAAATCTGCCATGGATGTCTGTCCATTTCTAGATTCAATTCAAAGGCCTGGATGGTTTAATCTCTAAAGCCAACCAAAGGGTATTGGACCAGGTTACTGAAGTAGGATAGTATCCTACCCTCTCAATTCATTGTCCAAGGTTTTCATTGAGCTGCCTCCATGCCTTGGTCACTGAAACAAGGAAGGAAGGTGGGGTAGTTACTTTGTGCTTATTAAATGCCAACCTGAAAGAGGCAAACTTGATGCCTATATTCATATCTTTTTAATGCCAAATTTATCACTGTGTTTTATTTTTTATTTTACTCATGCGCTGTTCCTACTCTAACCTATTAGCAACACCGCTGTTTATCCATTATTTAGTTACCTTTTATTTTAATTTTTTATCATTTCCCAGAGAATGTTGGTTCTTATAGATTTACACACATACACACACACACACACACACACA